GCCAAAGTGCTTGCTCATAGGGGGTCATATGATTGTTGGGTTTTTCTCTGTATCTACTGTACAATATAAAGCACATTGAGGCGACTTTTGTTGTGATTTGGCGCTATATAAATAAATTGAATTGAATTGAATCAAAACAAAAAACAACAAAAAACAAAAAATTTCAACAGGGAAAGAATAATTTCTTCCATGTGGCACTGCAAAGAAAACCAGAAGCAGGATCATAAATTCTGTATAAAATCTGGAGGGGGTCAAACACAAAAATGCTGAAAAGTGGAGATACAGTCATTGAGATGGCATACTTATAAAAGACATATTTAGCTTGCCTTTCTTGTACTGCTTCTTCAAAACTATATCTTTAATTCTGTCCTCACTCGACTGATTATTATACTTGTATCCGTGCTTTACCTATCTTATATTCTTGCCCTTTAGATTCTAAAATGTGTAGTACATGATTGTTTTTATTTTTGTGTGATGAGTTATACATGGACATTTAACCTTGTGCACATGAAACGAGAAAAAATACAACATATGAGAATTACCGAGCCTTTAATGGATCATCTAATCTGTTTCCTCCATATGTTGACTCCCCATCGAACACTGCTGGGTTTTCAGTCTCAGTACTCACTGAAGCAGAGCTTTTGTATTCTTTGAGCTGTTCCTGAATGAACTTTGGAAGAGTTTTGCCTCTTTCCTCATTACTACTTCCTGCCTGAATTGTTTATCTTACCAGATGGCCACCCCCGCATTACCTTTCACTTCATAATTGTGAACTGTGTAATACTGACATTTTTCAAGTGTGAAGCATTTTGAAAATACACCACAAAATAAGTTATTGTGAAACCAAAAAAAAAAAACTAATAATAAAGCTTTTACGCATCTATGTTTAACACACAAGCTCACAGTCATCACTCAGCTGAAACAGTTCAAATTCCAGCTTCTGACAGTTCCCAAGAGTCCATTTGTGTTATGTAACATGTTTGGGGCCTCTTTTTCCTGAGCACTCTGCAGCCTGATGATAACACC